CATGTGTCAACCAAGCCTGACCACCAATCCAGTTAGTCGCCTTTTACAAGCACGTGTTACTGAAGATCAATTCTCACCCGGATCTTCCCGGGTAGTACTTCAGCGTGATATTTAGGTATAGTATCTTCTCAGCTCGCTGATAAATCCAGAATCACGCAACAACGACAGTATGTCCATTAATCAGTAAATAGAAAATCCAGCACATAACATTGAAGGATTCAGTGTCTATTATTCTACCAGCAAGTGTCTGGCAGATAATCCTCAATCCAGTGTGGCAATCAAACTTTCACCTATGAAGATTTCGGTTAGAATTGGTCTTCAGCAACCCATGCTTGTCCTAAGAGGTGACTAACGGGAACGCGTGGTCAGGCTCGTTGCCTTGGTTGACACGTCATCGTATCCCAATTGTGTAGATCGATTCTCAAGCTGTTGATCACTGGATTGTCTGGTCCACACTCGATTATTTACAGACTACTGCCATAAACTTGACTACTGTAAAAATTTACTGACCGGTGCATCAAAGACCCAGATAGCCAAGCTGCAGAGAGTGCAGGACGTCGCCGCCCGTATCGTGACTCGCTCTGGAAAATATGAACACATTACTCCTATACTGTACACTCTCCACTGGCTTCCAGTCGAGTTCAGGATCCAGTTTAAACTCTCATGCCTTGTTTTCCGCTGTCTCACTGGAACTGCACCTTCTTATCTATCCAATCTTCTATCCGTGTACACGCCTCCCCGATCTCTCCGTTCACAGGAAAAGAACTTGCATGTTGTTCCCAAAGTAAAGACAGTGATGTATGGAAAGAGGTCCTTTGTCCATGCAGGATCTATAGCCTGGAACAGTCTCCCGCAGAGCCTCAGAGACTGTTGTGACTTTAATTCTTTTAGATCCAATCTAAAAACACACATGTTCAAGATAGCCTTTGAACTGTAGCTCTGTACCATTAATCTCATCTTTATCTTGTGCGTTTTGAGCATGCTTTAGCATGGATATATGCTCGTAACAAATATGCTATTAAATAGCTGGAATATTGCTGAGTGCAGCACTGGACATTCAATATAGGAGTGTATACCAAAAACGCAAAAGTGTGTCCTACCACCATATTTGTTTTATTTTTATACATTCATCCAGAATATTCGAAAGAGTAGGCAAATGCAGATGAGGATTGAATGTCAGCTCTTGAAAAGAAGCTCTTGCATGTCCTGTCAGACTATGGAGATGATATTAGTTTTATCCTAATGGGAGATTTCAATGCCCGAACTGCAGATGAAACAGATTGCATAATAAATGACGACACGCACTATTTGCCGCTTAACGATGATTATAGAGAAGATTCATTTGATATACCAAGAAACTCATTTGATACACAAATCAACACCTATGGTAGAAGTGTTCTAAACTTGTGTAAAGTGTTCAACCTCCACATAGTAAATGGGAGGACATTGGGAGATGAACATTGGTAGCTTTACATTCATATCGCGGGCAGGAGCCAGTGTGGTGGACTACGTGTTAGTATCAAGTACTATATTTCCTAAAATCAGTGACATGACTGTGATTCCAAGATCAGAATCTGACCATATGCCTATAGCATGTACATTTAATGACGTCATAAGAAAAGATACTGCACCAGCGTCTGGAACAGAAATGCCACTCTACACGATGCCCAGATACAGATGCAGCAATACGGACGCAGAACAATTATCTGGCGTTGTTGCAAACGACAAGATAAATGTACTGATATCTGAATTTCTGGAATATTTAAACTTGGATATAAATCGTGCAGTTAGCAAATTATCAGACGTCGTGGAAGCAACAGGAAAACGAGTATTACCCCGTAATTCAAACTCTAGTCAAGCTCCTAAACAACCTGCCTGGTTTGATATTGAGTGCCAACAACTTTAAACGGCGAAATACAGGTGTCTCCACAAGTTCAGGAACTTTAATTGTGATAAAAACAGAAATTATTATATTGGTGCAAAGCATGCCTTCAAAGAATGTTGTAAACTTAAGAAACTTAGATACAACAGAAAAATTGCAGATGACATCACCGTTGCGGCAGCGCGTGGGGATTGTAAGAATTCTGGAGTAAAGTAAAACAGGCATTCCGAACAAACATTGATTCATGTATTTCCGCAGCTGACTGGCAAGCCTACTTTACTGATTTGTTAAATCCTGAAATAGAAGTAACTGCCTCAGAGTTTGACCAACAAGTAAAACACTTCCTTGAACATCACTCGTGTAAGGACTGCGATGGGTTAGCGCACCAAGATATTTATTTATTTAAACAGTGAAATTTCTGAAGAAGAAATTAGGAGAAATCTATATCTGATCTTAAATTAAATAAATCACCAGGCACTGACGGGATACCCCCAGAACTGTACAAACTATCATGTAATATTTTTATTCCATATGTGAAGATGCTATTCAACAAGATTTTGGACAATGGTCTGTTTCCTACAAACTGGAATATCGGCGTTATTATACCACTGTTTAAATCTGGATCCAAGAAAGAACCATCTAATTATAGAGAAATATCAATTCTAAACTCAATGGGAAAACTCTTTATTTCAATTATATAGAAAAGATTAAGGACGTGGGTTGAGTTAAACGAAATATTATCCGAAGGTCAAGCTGGATTCAGCCCACAACATTCAACTACCCACCATATCTTCACTCTTCAGGCTTTGTGTTCGAAATAATGTGCAAACCCAAAGGCCGTTTTCATTGACTTTAAAAAGGAATTTGACTTTGTGGACAGAGATAAACTGCTATATATTCTGATTCAACGCGGCTGTCACGGAAAGATAACTATGTTGCTTAAAAGTATGTACGCATCGGTGAAAGCCAGTGTAAGAGTGAATAATGACTCAAGAACTGAAACTTCTCGTGGAGTGAGACAAGGATGTATTCTCAGCCCCCTCCTCTTATTTCTCTTTATTAATGAATTTGCAACAGAGCTCTAACAATCAGGCAACAATGGAATTTTTGTTACTTAAGATATACAAGATCTATTGCTGCTTATGTTTGCTGATGACATCGTCCTTTTTGCTACCAGTGTAATAGGTCTTCAGCGCCAGCTTAATATCCTGGAATAATTCTGTATCAAATGGGGACTACAGCTGAATCTTAACAAAACAAATATCATAGTGTTTCGTAACAGAGGAATTCTGAGACATTCTGAAAAATGGACTTTTGTAAAAATCCTCTTAAGGTGGTTACATACTACAAATATCTCGGCATAATATTTTCATCTAGGCTCGTGTGGACAAAAGCCTGTGAAGCACTTGCTCAACAAGCAAGTAAAGCCTGCCTCTCTGTTTTCAGACTTTTTAACAAGTATCAAGAACTAACCTATTCAAGTGCAAGAACTATATTTGATCGAAAGTGGCACCTATACTACTATACGGTTCGAAAATATGGGGACATAAATATTCTGATGTAATCGAGAGGGTCCTTACTATGTATTTCAAACGATTTCTGAAAATTGGAAAATGTGCTTCAAACAAAGCCACACTTGGAGAGCTTGGTCGTCACCCCATCTGCGTATTAACACAGATTCGAGTAATCAAGTTTTGGTTCAAGATACTCAGTAAGAATGAACAACGTTATCCCTGCAGTGCTACAGAATGCTAAAAACATTTGATGACATGGGCAGAACAAACTGGGCATCCAATGTTAGAAGCTTACTATTCAGAAACGGGTATTCTCATGTCTGGTTAAACCAGGGAGTTGCTAACGTTCAGCTATTCATGTATACTTTTGAACAACGATTGAAGGATATTGCCTACCAAACTTGGCACAACGAAATCAGCAGCTCCACTTTTTTCAGCCATTATTCAGTTTAAACATGAACTTTGCCTGGAGTCCTACATAACAGAACTGAAATATAAACATCTGATCCGTGCACTTATAAAGTTTCGTATTTCGAATAACAACTTTAAAGTGAACATGTACAGACTTAATGAGGATGGCCCACGTACGAACTACTTGTGTTCATTCTGTGATGCCGCGGAAACAGAAACTGAGAATCACGTATTCTTCCGATGTGTCAAATATCAGTGGTACAGAGACAGTTACTTCAAACAATTACAAAATGTCTACAAAGGCCCACTCACTCTGCCGTCAATTTTGCAATCCAAAAATCCCCAAGTTATATACTGCACAGCACTATTTTTACATTATGTTTTTAAAGTAAGATCCCAATACAAATTATGACCACTGTTTCACGAAACTGCCAAAGTTTGGGACTGTATTATAGGCCATGGGGCCGATATTACGAATAAACTTCTGTCTGTCTGTCTGTACACCAAAATGTAGATTGTTAAAGTTGCTCCAGACAAAAAATATAAATAGACCAGACAATCCAGTGATTGATAGTGGAATATCAGCAACTACATGATGTCAGGGCATGTTGACACCCAATTAAAAAAGTTCAATCCCTGGGCCTAGATTTTCGAAGCTCTCTTAGCACTAAGATAGTCGTAAGTGCCATCTTAGTGCTAAGAGAGCGTTCGGAAATCTAGTCCCTGGTCCATACATTCACTTCTCACTGGTTCCTTGCTGCCAATTCAAACCGAGAATCCTTAGGGATTTACATCTACAGATCACTTTTGGATGATGTGCTACATACTCTGTAATCCAGCTCAGGTTTAGCAATTAAGACAACACTAAAATTTGCAATTATATTTGATCAACAATATACTTTCTTTCATGCCTTTTCCATTTCAAAAGCACCTAAATTGCTTCAGTATGTTTTGTCTCAGCATACAATGCTGAAATATGTGTTGTCTCAGCATACAGCCATTTTTTAATGGAAAATAAAAAACATTCTGCCTTATGTGAATGAGTGAGTGAGTTGGGTTTTATGTTGCTTTGAGCGACGGTCGTGCCTGATAAACACGACAACACCAGTTAATGGACAACTAACACCTGCATCCTTGCAAACGCATATAGCCGTGTTAAGGCATGTAATGAAAACACACACATAAAATATGTGCACATGAAAACAGGTTTTATTGCCTCATTTCCCTCTATACATAAAAAAAACAGATCATCAACAAGACTACATAACAGCATCTGGGTCCACGTTGTTCTGGCAGAAAATAGACTGGAGAACATCAGTTCCTCGCAACAGTTTTGTGCTTCCAATGACAACCTGTGAACACATGAAATGTTGCAAGTCACTTAATTGCTCTGTGGTAAAAGTATTGACATGCCTGTAAGTCAAGCTTCTGTCCTATTATTACTGGTACAAGTATTGACATGCCTGTAAGTCAAGCTTCTGCCCTATTATTACTGGTACAAGTATTGACATGCCTGTAAGTCAAGCTTCTGCCCTATTATTACAGGTACAAGTATTGACATACCTGTAAGTCAAGCTTCTGCCCTATTATTACAGGTACAAGTATTGACATGCCTGTAAGTCAAGCTTCTGCCCTATTATTACTGGTACAAGTATTGACATGCCTGTAAGTCAAGCTTCTGCCCTATATTCTGCCCAGTTGAAAGAACTAGTCAGGTAATAAGTTTACATACCTGTTTATCAAGCTTCATCTTGTCCACCACATCTCTGACCTGCTTGACCTCTGTCGCGGTCACGCCACCCACTACAAACACCAGCAGCAAAGGGTGGTCACTGGGGCCGGGCTTGCTCACGTTCATAAACAATCTGAAAATGTAACAGAAAAATACTGGTGTGCACAGAGTTTATCCAACTACCTATGTAAACCATCCTTCAATAAACGGCCTCCGTGGTGTAGTGGTTAGAGCGTCCACCCGGAGAGCGGAAGGTCGCAGGTTCGATCCCCAACCGCGTCATACCAAAAGACGTTAAAATATGGTACTTGTTGGTCCCTGCCTGGCGCTCGGCATTAATGGGTACACAAGGACTGATCGTCTCGGAGTCAGTATAATGTGTCTGAGAGGGGTATTCATGCTTCACTGCGGCATGGTATCTCAGTGGGCTAGCACTATAACACCAGCTAAAGTCTGGGCTAGTACAAGCAGCCGCACATACACATACACACGCATGCACGTCGTCATATGAGCGAAATATTCTCAAGCACGACGTTAAACCCAATTTCACCTCACCATCCTTCAATAAAAATAGACGTCAACTTCAGCTCCATCAGTTTGATACAGAATGGGTACAGTGTTTGTTGAGAGAGAGGAAGGTCGGTTGTTAGACTCCCAGCTGTGTCATACCAGTAAGTAAGTTTAGTTTTATGCCGCTTTAGGCAATATTCCAACAATATCACGGCCGGGGACACCAGAAATGGGCTTCATACATTGTACCCAAGTGAGGAATCGAATCCGGGTGTTCGGGGTGTCGAGCGAACGCTTTAACCACTTGGCTACCCCACCGCCCCTTGTCATACCAAGACCTATTGAAAGATAGTAGTTGTGTTTCCATCGCCGATGGACATTTTGCATCGAGTCAATATACTGTGTGCTTGTGTAAGAACCGTGTTTAAGATCAGAAATATGTTTCTGGTTTAACTTTCATGTGTGTTTCCTACCCTTGATTAAAACCGGCTTTTCCGCACTAGCACAAGCAAAGACCAAAATAACCTCACACAGAAAAATATGTTCAAAGATTGGAACCACCAGTTACCCAAATCCTGATTTCAAGAAGTCTTTGAGTCCACTCGATTTAAATTCTAGATCCACAAGCTCGGGCTTGTCGGGGCTGAAGATCTGTTCCACTATTGTCTTCAGCAGAGGCTTCATGCTGGCTGGACTGATGGCTGTAGATGGCTCCAGGATGGACCTGAGGAAACAGGAGAGTGTGTATAAATTCTGAACTGGCAAACGTACAGACAGGAATAGACACACACACAGTATATGTGTAGTGCCAACACCTCCGCTATTGTTACAAAATTTGCCGATGAATGAAGTTCAATAGATATCAATTAGTGTCACGGACATTAGTGCTCATTTGTCAATTAATTTATGAGAGATGTCTGAATTGTTGTTATATTCTGTATTGTTATGATGATTGCCAACCTGAAGACAATAAAGATGACAAGAGATTTACGTTTTCTGTCTTTTATTAAGTTCTAAAAAGTAGACATGGTCAGACTGAAATGCATCATTATAACAATGCGAGTAGAGTACAGTCGCATATTTCGCATTAATAAAATACTTGCATTAATTTCATGATTTACAGTATACACACATACAGACAGAAATGGAAGTGGACAGTAGTACAAGACAACACACAGGAACTGTCCTATGAAAGCACAGAGGCCTATTTTGGTGGGTCGTTTAATGATGCACTCAGCAATATTCCAGCTATGTGTCAACTGTAAATAATCGAGTCTGGACCAGACAATCCTGTACTGACATCATCAGTAGTGATCTAAGCAACTGGCATACAATGACATGTGTCAACCAAGTCAGCGAGCCTGACCACCCGATCCCGTTAGTCGCCTCTAATGACAAGCATGGGTTACTGAAGATCAATTCTAACCCGGACCTTCACGGGTGGTAGACTGAGAGAGATACAGACAGGTAGGTGGACACATAAATAGGTAGGTAGGTAAGTATAGACACAAAACAGTCACAGGTAGGCAGACAGACAGACAGACAGGCAGGCAGGCAGGTAGTTAGAAACACGGATGCAGGTAGACAGATGCAGACAGACAGGCACAACCTACTGGAAGTTCTTGAGGTCGTCCCGAGCAGTCCCCACAGCCTCCAGTTTGCTCCACACATCCTCCAGCAGGTCCCTCACAATACTGCCACTAACAGCATCCCCCACTGCAATAGAGTGAGTGAGTGAGTTGAATTTTTCGCTGCACTCAGCAATATTCCAGCTATATGGCGGTGGTCTGTAAATAATTGAGTCTGGACCAGACAACCCAGTGATCAACAGCATGAGCATCGATCTGCCCAATTGGGAACCGATGATATGTGACCACCAAGTCAGTGAGCCTGACCCCCCGATCCTGTTAGTCGCCTCTTACGACAAGCATGGGTTACTGAAGATCAATATTCAAACAGAATAACTGGATAATGTTCCCACGTGATGGAGGATGACAAGAAGCTACACTGTTCACATAACAACTTGGATCGATTCTACAAAGTTGTCTACCACTATCAAGAATCTAGGTTAAACATGTAAGATTTAGGACTATCTTAGCACTAGGATCACTTAGTGTGACACGATCATTGTTTCAATTATACAAATCATTAAAAACACAAACCTTCCCCAATACACATCAGCAATGATCTAAATATGTTGATATATTGATAAAATAAGTACATAAATGTGGTCCCTTTGAATAATAATGAAACAAATTAAATTTTCCTGATCCAGTTAATAATATTTCAAGCAAATATTGGTAATTATCAGTATGTTAATTCCTTGAACATTTTTTACATTTTTTCAGCTGAAAGTGGCAACTGAGCCACTCAACTATGACAGTTCCCATAGGTCTATCTGATGTATGTACATAGAATATCAAGGGTGATTATAAATGGAAGGTCACACAACAATATGGTGAGTTATTACGAAAGTAACTTCAGCAAACTCACCAATAGAATGTATCACCGGGGGTAAGTCGGACTTCTCAGCTAAAATAGCCTCCACAAGCTGGTCCTGAACAAAGATCAAATAAAATCAGGTGAGGAAAACAGGGTATAATGCAGGGCTCCAGATAATGTTTCGACATCAACAGTACGTACTCCTTATTTTTTCAATACAGGAGTACTGGAAAACCTTAAGCCTACATTTAGAGTACTGAATGGAATTTAATGGAGTATCAGTAATCTTGTGTTTCGTTTTATATATGCACCACAACATCGCTACTCTTGTGTAAACAGGTCAATAAACAATAAAACAATAATTTTCAGATAAATATGTCTGTAAATGATTCTAAGCCCGTACACCATTGCTGTGGTGCGTATCTGCTACGTTTTCTAAATTATTTCCTACCGTATCGTGCATATTTGTTATCCGTACATACGCCACGCCGATACGGCCCTTATCTGGAGCCCTGTAATATCATGTTAATACTTATGGCACTAACAAAACTAACAAAGTTGTGTGAAAGTGAGTTTGAGTGTTGAGGTACAGATCGTTGTTTTGTGAATTCCCTACTGGGACTATTCAACGAAGTAGCTTTGAATGAATGCGGTTTTGTAGAATCCAAACACAGTGTCTGTCTGTTCATTGTTTAACAACCAAAAGAATATTCCAGCTCCATGACAGCAGTATAAAAATAATCTCAACCAGACAATCCAATCATTGACATTACTAGCGTAGCGGCCATAAAATTTCCGAGTCCCGTGCTGGGATTCGAACCATGGACCTTCCGATGTCGGGCGCGTGGTCCACATGACCAAAGAGGTTAACCCCATCAGCAAGCTGACAAGGTAAGGATGTCATCTGTGGGATGACTCTACGCCCTGCTACATACTCCCCCGTCAACAGAAGGCATGTCCCGAGCCGCATAGCAGAGTACTTTATTTTGCTCAAATTTAATAAGAATAAACATGTGCCTTATAGTAAATGTCCAACAACCCTGTAACTACATATTTTGATGACTAAAGAGTTTAATTTGATAAGCGTACATGAAATTTCAAAGTTTAGTATTTTTCTGAAAATAAAACCTCCAACATGGTGATGTGTAGTATCAAATAAGTGTACAGCCCTAATCCTGTACAGCATGGGATCAGGGGAGTGGGGAGGGGGACATTTTCACAATGTGCCTGAAATATTAAACATTGAAATTGAATGAAACCCTAACCCACGCGCAGGCTTGTTTCTATGGAAATTCCCCTCCTCTGGCCACCTGACTGATACAGTGGGAAATTCAAATATGGATTTGACAAAAAGAGAAATATATATTTTCAAAATGTATGTTTTGTAGGCTGTCTGCATCCATACATTTTACCGTCAGCCTTCATAACATACTTCTTTACACTATGACTTAATGTCCTCATGAACCGGTAAGTCAGTTTTGTGATATTTCATGGAATGTACTTGAATACTGCATTGCTTTGCATTTAAAGACAGCTTTTACAAGGCAAGGAGGCCACACCCCATCTGTGTATAGGTTTGAACCCCGGCCTTTAAGTGTGTAATTGTTTTTGAATCAGGCATTTAAAAAATCGGAAGCAGCAAGAACTTCACCAACCTGCACTTCCAGTTCCTCGTCCCCACAGTCTCCTCCTGACAGCGAGTACAGGAACGTCAGCACCATCAACACATCGTCCAGACTATGGGACCTACACACAGACAGATGGTGGTGGTGGTGGTGGAATTGGGTTTAACGTCGTGCTTGAGAATATTTCGCTCATATGACGACGTGCATGCGTGTGTGTGTGTGTGTGTGTGGCTGCCTGTACTAGCCCAGACTGAAGCTGGTTTTATAGTGCTACCCTACTGAGATACCATGCCGCAGTGAAGCATGAATACCCCACTCAGACACATTATACTGACTCCGAGCCGACCAGTCCTTGTTGTACAATTTAATGCCAGGCAGGGACCAACAAGTACCATATTTTAACAGCTTTTTGGTATGACGCGGTCGGGGATCGAACCCGCGACCTTCCGCACTCAGGGCAGACGCTCTAACCACTACACCACGGTGGCGGTACACACAGACAGATGGAAGAAAGATGTCATCAAGTGCTGTGTTCTGATTTACTACAAATTCAGAGTTGAAGACAATTATTTTACAGAGACGAACAATATTGGCACATTCTCAAACATTTCTCACGATTTCATCATTTTGTTACTGTGACCATACTGGATGGACTAACCTCTGATTGGCTGGAAGCTGTAGTTGACCTTTGAGCAAGGTCAGTATGTGGGACAGACCACCGGCAGAGCTGTCATCTCCAACAAGTTGGACAAGATTCTTTTCTGTGCTTAATAGGTTGTCATGGCGACTAGTATCCTGATGTTTCAAAGCCTGTGATGTTGCCATGGCAACCTGGAGAGTATCTAGATGAGACTCAATGGCAGCATAGTTGCCTCTGACAAATAGAAACATCATAATATGTCACAACTTTTGCATTCGTTTTGGAACTAAACGATTTTTTTTCGTGTAAACATTTGCTTATGTGAAGGACTTGTACATCTCGACCTGCAATATTGCTGTGGACTGAAACTGAAAGTAGACACACCAGTTTGCTGAACATAGCTATCAGCAATATTCCACCCTTATGATACTGGTCTGTAAATGATCGAGTCTGGACCAGACAATCCAGTGATGGACATCGTGAGAATCAGTCTACACAAATGAGATCGATGCATCAAATATGTACAAAACCTGAACACAAATCCATTTAGTTACATCTTCTGAGAAACAAGCAATAATTCCAATGACCTTCCTCTTCTGATAACAATGATGAATGTTACATTCTGAATCACACTTTGCCTGCTTCATTCACACTTCTTAGAAGCTGACAACTGACAAAGCAGACATAATTTACGGAAAACAACTTTTCTATTTTTACAGTTATGGAGATGGTTAAAAAACAAAGCGCCTTTAAGCAGCTGAGCTGGATATCGGCGCTATACAAATGTTAGTATGTATATAATAATGTATGTATGTAATAATGTATGTAATAATGTATGTATGTATGTACGTACATATGTACATATGTATGTATGTATATGTATGTATGTATGTATGTATGTATGTATGTATGTATGTATGTATGTATGTATGTATGTATGTATGTATGTATGTAGGTAGGTAGGTAGGTAGGTAGGTAGGTAGGTAGGTAGGTAGGTAGGTTTAGTATAGATCCTTAAACAGGTGTAAAACACTGACTGACTGACTGAGTTTGGTTTTAGGCCGCTTTTAGCAATATTCAAGCAGCATCATGGCAGGGGACACCAGAAATGGGCTTCACACATTGTACCCATGTGGGGATTCGAACCCGGGTCTTCGGCGTGACGAGCCAACGCTTTAACCATTAGGCTACCCCACCGCCCCAGGTGTAAAACAAGGCCTACTGGAAGAGGTAGAGCGTATAAGAGAAATATCTTTGCCTACTTGAATAAACTGAGCGTGGTGTCTATCTGTTCTGCAGTCACGACGTCCTGGTTTGCCTGCCAAGTTGACGGGAAGCTTCTCACTGGTAGCAGCTTCAACTAGCCGTCGATTTACAGCCATTAAACATTCCTGATAATCAAATTGAGAAGATGAAGCATAATAAACTATACCATTTTACAGACAAATGTGGAGATATGCCATAGCTACTTGTAATTTCTTATTGAGAGAACTTTGATAACCTGCACAGCTCCATCTAAGGTCTCAATCTCTCAATCAGTTGACCATCAGGGCATGGATACAGAGTCATCTCCCCTTACAAGTTCCACTCCACTAAAACTGAATCAGTTACACAGCCAGAACATGCATAGAAAACATGGGATGAGCAGTGAAGCACCCAGCAATTAGGACTGGATAGAAATGTGATAGACTGTGATGTATTTTTTAATCGAAATCTGCACAGTAATTAAATATGACAATTTTTTGGGTCAGTATTTTGATCACCATTGTTTCTTGCTGAATGTGTCAACAGATACTTTCAAACAGGTGACACTTTGTGTGGAATTGGAGTTGGTGTGATTTGCTTCCTGTAATCAAAAATGGAGCTGGCTGAGCTAACCAAATCTGGTGGTTGTATTTCAGCCTTAAGGCTAGGTTGTGCATGCATGAACATTTGATTGGCAGAAGAAATACAATATAACATTACAATTGAATAACTACAAAGGAAAAACATTGGTTGAGTGTAGTTTATAGTCACCTTGTGTTTACCAAACACCAGATTCTGCAAATGTATAGGTTGTGAAGAGAAGCTGCCCGACGCTAGGCTTCCTGGGACAATGACGTTTTTAGCATCCCTACAACAAATGATACAAGAAATCAGTGATCAGTTGGAGATCTGGGTTATGGTGGGGAGGTTGTACGCAACCAAAGTCTTAATCTATCACCTGGAATCTTCAAAGGCATAAGACGACACTATTTTTATGGTTTTCAGTACGGGACCGTTCATAATTTATGGCTTTTGGTGTGTGTGTGTGTGAGAGAGAGAGAGATTTAAGGGGGTGTGTGTGTGTGTTTGTCACCCATTTTTTTCTGGGGAGGTGGGGGGTCATCAATTTTGTACATAAAAATATTTAAACATTATGCTTAAAAAATATTGAAAGATGGGGGGTCATTGATTTTGTACATGACATGCAAGGGGGGGGGGAAAGAGACTTACTTTGTACATAAATTTTAGGGGGGGTCATTCACATTGTACATGCTTCTCCATTAAAATCATCGTCATCCCCCCTGGCCATAAATTATGAACGGTCCCTAAGCTGCAACATTTATTTATTCTATGATACTGGCCATTGATAAAGTTGCTTTTCAACAAGAAAAAGGACACAGTTAGGATCAGATGAATATTCTTAAGGGACAGCAAAGTATTATTAACTTCAATAAATAGGAAATTTGAAAAACTTTCTAAAACTTTACTGCTCATAACCTTGCTCATGTTGAAATGAGTTTGTTCATACTAAGTTCAAGGGGAATTTTCTTGATGCCACAATTAACTCATAATGCCCTGTGGCACACTTCAACCCCTGAAAAGCTAAATCAGTCTGCGATCAGATGCATTCAACAAATTGTGTCCTCACTTTACAATGGAGCAGAGAGGGGTCATGTCGACCATGACATCAGCATTGTGACGAGGCAGTGATGGCAGGACGCTGGTGATCTTGTCCAGTAGAGTGTCCAGCTGGTGGCCAGCAGGGGATGCAAGGTCTAGGGTCCGGTCAATCAGGATGACTGAAGCTCTGTTGGAGACATTCTGAAACAGGGCAAACATGAGCACTCTTCTGAAACAAAATCAGTCATGCACCACTGGTATTCTTCTCCAAGCAAAAATGTACTGGGAAGTATCTTGTTGGGATACCGGACTTGGGCTCCCTCTCATACACATTATAGGAGTGAGTGAGTGAGTCTGGTTTTAGGCCAGTTTTAGCACTATTCCTGAAATATCACAGTGGGGACACCCACAATGGGGTTCACACATAGTACACATTAGATAATCAATCCTATACCGGGACGGGGGAAAGCTACGCAGATTACAAAGAGAATCTCACACAAACTTTGTTCGATATCAAACATGCAAGCCAATAAAACTTCACAAATGGAGAATTGACACATCCAGGTTTGGTTTTTATATTCTGAGGGGAAAATATATGAGAGCACAAGTGTTCCTTTATTTTTTTCCCAGGATTCTTCACAAGCTTTGTATCTCACAACTTGTAAAGAAACCTGGAAAAAAATAAAGGAACACTTGTGCTTTCATGCGATCCCTTATTTTCTTTCCCTCAGTATATTACAATATACCATTTCTTAGACACCAAGTATAACTTCTCTCTTAAGCCTTAACAGTAAGAATATTTTTGAAGTCCAATACAGACAAGTGACCTCACCTTCCTTCTAATCTTGGCAGGTGGGTAGTTTTCAATCTCTGTGGCTAGTAGTCGACTTGTGTGACCCATGCTGTACAGGTCTTCCCTTACCCCGAGGTCACTCAGCAAGGCATGGAAGCAGCAAGCAAGCCTCTGTAACCATGGTAACAGTGTGAGTGAGTGAGTGAGTAAATGTAAAATATTTCTGCTTTATCTCATTCTCTTCCCACAGAGGTTACTTGTCATATGGTACTATGAACCTCTGTTCTAATACGGCCCTTTCATGGTGCAAATGTTCAGGATTCTTGATTTAGTTGTGCAATCAGCGACGTTGTTTCAAAATTGATCATTCGCATGGCCTCGGTAATTTCTGCATGCTTCGGGAAAACTAGAACCTCTTCCCCTGCGCGATGCGTAAACGTTTCTTCTAGACACAACTCAGTCATGTAATGATGGATCAATGGGGCCTCCATCGCCCTCGTTGACAACGGACAAGCTAGCCATTAAATGTATCGTGTGTCACATAAACACAAGTCCCCGTCAGAGGAGGGATATTTGTGGCCCCACATTTCCTTGTGTTAGTCAATTTGGATCTAAGTCGATGTAACACGTGTTCTGATTTGATAGAAAGAAGGGAGATAATTTGTGTTGCGATTTTTTGCCGCTATGGGATTTTACAAGAACCGGGAAATATGGTCGTATTAGAACAGAGGTATGTGGGAAGATATGACAAGTAACCTATGTGGGAAGAGAATGGCTTTATCTTTGCAGTGAATCTGCAAAAGTCGAGACTCTCTCAACATCTAATCCTCTTACATTGCTATCACAACAAGAAAACAACACTGGGGCACTATTCTTCCCTGAACACCTACTGAGGGTTTGAGTTAGTGAGTGAGTAAGCAGAGCTCCACATAAGGGCCGTATCGGCATATGTACGGATACAAAATATGTACAATACCATAGGAAATAATTTAGAAAACGTAGCACATATGCATCACGGCAATGCTGTACAGTCTTAGAATCATTTACAGAAGTATTTATCTTAAAAGTTATTGTTTTATTGTTTATTGACCTGTTTACACAAGAGTAGCAATGTTGTGGTGCATATATGAAAGGAAACTGATTACTGATACTCCATTAAATTCCACTCAGTACTCTAAATGTACTCTTAAGGTTTTCCATTTCCAGTACTTCTATATTGATCAAATATGGAGTATGGACTCCTGATGTTGAAAAATTATCTGGAGCCCTGGAGTATGGTTTTACGCCGCTTTTAGCAATATTCCAGCAATATCATGGCGGGGGACACCAGAAATGGGCTTCACAAATTGTACCCATGTAGGGAATTGAACCTGGGCCTTCGGCGCGACAAGCAAACGTTTTAACCACTAGACTCCCCACCGCCCAGTGAGGGTTTTTTGAGTTAAGGCCCATAATGAATTCACCCATCTCCAGAAACACATTTGGTGTGGTACCATTACTGACAGGTTTTATAGTTGTGCCAATGTCCATCAGATGCTTGCTGATTGTATCAGACTCAAAATGAGGTGAAATGTTAGATTTTTGCACTCATATAGCAATCGTGACTTGTATGTGGCTGCTTGTCCTTGTATGGACTAATGCCTTAATTCATATCTTTAAACAGACACATATATCGCTGTAGTGAGTTCATGCAATATTTGTGTGAACTTGTACGCCAGTATTATCCAACCAGAACTCTCAGATCCCAGTCCCAAATTCTGTGCACAGTGCCTAGATACAGACTAAAACAATTTTGATTCAGATCATTTGCCCACCAATCAGCTGTTCTATGGAATTCACTGCCTGAAGATCTCAAAACAGTTTTTATTTAAGAAGTACTTTGTCTAGACTCTCACCCAAATAACTTTACTTGTAGCGCCATGAGCATACCAGCTGGCGTGGAGCTTGGCGCGTTACAAATTCACTCATTATTATTATTATCATTAAAATACCCAACAGACCAGGGAAATAAAAATATATCAAATACATAAAGAGTACAATATCCAATGAGAATGATAACTTCTGACAACTCAAAGGCTCAAACAAGTACCTGGAAACCTTTGTCTGATGTATTATAGAGAAAACCAACTTAAATATAATGGAAATGATTTCATAAAAAATCACTCATCCTATACTGACAGTACAACATTTGTCCTATACTAACAGTACAACTTGATAGCAATCGATGTCTTTTTTCATTACGCAAGCGATTTTTATACATATATCCCGTACGCATTTGTTTTAAACTTTATGAGTATCTAACATTTTAAATGCGTAATTGGTACGCAACAATTATTTTTCAATGCGTAATTGGAAATTTTATATGCGTATTTTACCCGGATACGCAGCTTATCTGGGCCTCTGATTATTGCACTCATATAGCAATCGTGACTTCTGTGTGGCTGCTTGTCCTAGTATGGACTTATGCCTTAATTCATATCTTTAAACAGACGCATATATTGCTGTGAGTCCATGCAATATTTTACACACTTGGAGGAGCACATGAACAGATACAAATTAGAATTGACCTCAAATAGCTTTTCATGCAGAATTATTTAAAACGAAAACAATGTTGACTGAGGTGTAAAAAATACCCAACAGACAAAGGAAATAAAAATATATCAAATACATAAAGAGTACAATATCCAATGAGAATGATAACTTCTGACAACTCAAAGGCTCAAACAAGTACCTGGAAACCTTGTCTGATGTATTATAGAGTTACCTTGAAAGTAACCTGTAATGCTTTGGGAAGATACTGACACTCAATCTCAGACAGGGAGGTAAACGATGCCTTGTCTCCCTAGAAAACACAGGATGTTAACATTTAAATTTACAATAAACCATAAAACATGGCAATTACATCATTTCTACAATGAGTGAGTGTGATTAGTTTGACAAGAATTGGCAATTTATCAGGAATTTTTCCTTGATGATCTAGAGCAGGTTGACATTGATCTGGATTGTTTGAAGTCAGTTTCATGAACAATACAATCGAGCCTAATGGATTTTGCTATGTGACATCTTAACCAACCTTGACCTTGTGAGCAGTGTTGTACTGTAGCTGTACATGTTGTACGTCCGTCTCAAGTAACGGGAACACTTGAGAGAAAGCTGGCGTGACGAACAGTCCAGGACATATGTCGGCAGTGAACAGAGGGATGTGAAATATTTCTGCAGTGTAATTCTGCAAAGTACAATGTAATCTTATTCATTAACAAATCACAGGGGCATGGAAAAGCATGGTCATTGTCCCACTTGCTACATTTGATGGCCAGACAAACAAACAAATCTGCTTCAGTTGCCAATATACAATCATAAAATTTAAACCCTCAGTCAATTTTGATAAATTGATCTCATCAAGTACTAAACATCTCAACTGACAACAGATTATTACTTCCTTGTTCTGATTCAGATCATGCACCAAGGCAGAACCTGTGAAGATCCGGGTTAGAACTTGTCTTCAGCTACTCATGCTTGTCGTAAGAGTTGACTAACAAGATCGGGTGGGTAGGTTTACACGTCATCGTATCCCAATAGCGTAGAATGATGATCATGCTGGTGATCACTGGATTGTCTGGTTCAGACTCGATTATTTACAGACTGTCGCCATATAGCTGGAATATTGCTGAGTGCGGCGTTAAACAACAACCAAACTCTAGGGCAGGTATTCTGATTGACTCATCTGAGTTGCATGTTGCTAGTTGTTGAAATGGTAAGAATTCATGAACTTTAAAAGGCCAACGTGATACAAACACTGATTCGTTAATGTCAAAAAGGTACTCATGGGCAATAATGTATGAAATGTGATAAAAAAGACAGGTTTGGGTAAAGCATCTGGCAAAGTACGCTTGTTTCCAGATCTGTTCAGCACTGGTTCAGTAGGGAACACAAAACAAAAGCTACTGACAGTTCATGACAAGGCAAAACAGACATGAGTTACTGTCCTTGACTGTCAACACTGCATCATAGTGGTGTTCCGATTAATTGAAATAATCGAAGATTGGTCGCAGTGACCGAACGACCAAGCAATCGATCACATTTTCTCATAATCGAACACAAACGATTTTGGAACTGCTGTTTTAGTCTTTGAAACACTTGACGATGGAACATATCTTCGAAGTTGTCGGGGCCTGCAAACTTGTTTAATTCTTAGAAAACTCACTTCACTAACTGAAAAGTCATGACTGAATATTTCTTGAAGACTCCAGGAAGTTTATGGTCATGATATATTAGTCATTACTTTAAAGTAGCAAGTTGCATCATCTTATACCTATCTGCAATAACAACCTGGATAGGAAAATCTGAAAAATGATGCTAACCAATGTTTTTCGATGATTGTTCGTTGGTAATGAAGCAATCATCAATTGTGAGATTTCAACCAATTCCCAACACTACTGCATCATGATGTACATATTCACAGAAGCAGTTCTTTCTGCTGAGTTGCAAGAAGGGGATATATTTCCATACTACAGAAGTCTAATACAAAATAGTTTTAGGTTTGCAGTACTCTGCACAGCACCTTACATAAAGTTACAACGAGTGAGTGAGTTTAGTGTTACGCCGCTTTTAGCAATATTCCAGCAATATCATGGTGGGGGACACAAGAAATGGGCATCACACATTGTACCATGTGGGGAATTGAAACCTGGTTTTCGGCGTGATGAGGGAACGCTTTAATCACTAGGCTACTCCACAGCACCTTACAAGGGGACTGTACTCTACACAGCACCTTACAAGGGGACTGTACTCTACACAGCACCTTACAAGGGGACTGTACTCTACACAGCACCTTACAAGGGGACTGTACTCTACACAGCACCTTACAAGGGACTGTACTCTACACAGCACCTTACAAGGGGACTGTACTCTACACAGCACCTTACAAGGGGACTGTACTCTACACAGCACCTTACAAGGGGACTGTACTCTACACAGCACCTTACAAGGGGACTGTACTCTACACAGCACCTTACAAGGGGACTGTACTCTACACAGCACTGTACTCTACACAGCACCTTACAGGGGACTGTACTCTACACAGCACCTTACAGGGGACTGTACTCTACACAGCACCTTACAAGGGGACTGTACTCTACACAGCATCTTACAAGGGGACTGTACTCTACACAGCAATGTACAAGGGGACTGTACTCTCACACACAGCACTAAGCAGGTATGTTACTACAAGGGGACTGTACTCTACACAGCACCTTACAAGGGGACTGTACTCTACACAGCACCTTACAAGGGGACTGTACTCTACACAGCACCTTACAAGGGGACTGTACTCTACACAGCATCTTACAAGGGGACTGTACTCTACACAGCACCTTACAAGGGGACTGTACTCTACACAGCACCTTACAAGGGGACTGTACTCTACACAGCACCTTACAAGGGGACTGTACTCTACACAGCATCTTGGAAGGTAATATTCTCCACAAAAATGTGAAGGGGACGTAACTCTGGAAGTCAAGGTCTACACTTTGCAATTAGTTCCTTGTATGAAAGCTTCAGTAAATAGCTACAGTCTCAGTACTCACCATGTTTCCCATCCACTGAAGCAGAAGATCTTCTATTTCATCAAAGTCATGTTTGTCATCAACCTCTGCACTTCCTGTGCGGTCAAAAGCAAGCACATTGCTGCTAACAGTGGAGATGACAACAACATACTGAAAGTTGCTTTGTTCAACAACATCCTTCAACACGTCCCGAGTCACAGAGTCTCGCAACATGGAGCTGACAATGAACACTGCCTTTTTCTGATTAGGATCTGCCTTCTGAAACACAATGGGGCTAATGTGTCAACAACTATGCGCTTTCCAATATACTTGCTATATTAGATGTGGTCTTTGTTGTCACCAAATTATAAACTAAATAAAACATGGTCCCTATAATCAAATGCAAAATCAAATACCTCAAGGACTATTTCAGATACTGCCAGTACTTAGTTTTAACTTTTCAGGGGTTCAAAATTTGTTTAAAAAGCCACTTGCCACAGGGCAAGTGACTTTAACAAAGTAACTTGTCCTGACTAATTTCCACTTGCCCAGTGCATTTGTTATGCATAATCATGATGTAATTATGAAAGACTTCAACATGGTTTATGTTCAGTTTTTACCTGATGATGGGGCCTAACAAGCCCTCAGAAACCCTTGAATGACCAAAAAGAAGATGTAACCCAGAAAATCTCTCCTCTAGCCCTGATTTTATGACATAGATCATGTCTTATTCATGTTCAATGTATGGAAGTTAATGCTTACTGGACAGTATTTATTGTAAAATAGAAAGATAACTCTCTCATTGCAAAATTTAATAGCTACATTTTGAAACAGACTATTTTCAGTTTGAAACCATTGGAAAATCAACGGACTATAGAGACACATTTAAATGCTATACAACCCTGACTATTCATCAACGAGGGTCTAACATGCATTCATTTCAAGTGGCTCTTGGCAGATAGTATGTTCATTCTAGGTAAACAGGGAATCAACTCTATAGAGACATATTTTGCTATACAAAACCATGTTTCAAATAAGTTGTTTTCAACATCATATATTTTTTAAATATAGGAGTACTGGAAAAACTTAAAGAGTACATTTAGAGTACTGAATGGAATTTAATGGAGTATCAATGATCTTGTGTTCCGTTTCATATATGCACCACAACATTGCTACTCTTGTGTAAACAGGTGAAAAACAATACTTTTTCAGATAAATATGTCTGTAAATGACTCTAAGATCGTACACCATTGCTGTGGTGCGTATGTGCTACGTTTTCTAAATCATTTCCTACCGTATCGTGCATATTTTTTATCCGTTACATACCGATATGGCCCTTATCTGGAGCCCTGCCATATATCAACCCTGCAAATAGCCAAATCTGGATCTAACAATGAACACAACCAATGATCCACACCACACTGTCTTACGGCCAGAAAAGAATTCTGAGATCCTATTTTACTGAAAATTTTAAATAATGCCCAAGGAGTTCTAAATTAAACTGCACAACAACATGAATACTCCTAGACTTGACACACATATTACCTCAAAAGAAGAGAACTCGCGCACATCCACAGCCCCGGCCTCCAGGAGTCGAGCCATTCCGCCCTGCCAGTGTAGCAGCTCGGCACATGGGTCATCAACATACACCACTGCTCTGTTCACCTTCAACACTACATCTTCCCATAATGCCTTTGAGCACTGCCACGTTGTCTTCATCTTTATGGCTTGTTCAATCACTCATACCTAAAACATAGATGTAATCATGATATGTTTGGCGATTTGTAAATAGTCAAGACTGTACCAGACAATCCAGTGATTAGTTTCAACCATGAACACTAGTCTATGCAATTGGGATATGATAAGACAGAAGACATGCATCAACCACATCTGTTCGCCCAGTCTCGTCAGTCACTTCTTACTAGTGTTGGGAATTGGTTAAAATTTCATAATTGATGATTGGTTTATTACAACCGATCAATCATCGAAAATAATTGGTTAGCATCATTAATGAAATTTGTTAATGCACATAAAAATAAGGAAAAAACATGTAGTTCTTTTGGGTTTTTGGGCAAAATTTCACATCTTTAAAGGATGACTAGTATGTCAGGAACATAAATTTCTTGGAGTCTTTAAGAAAAATTCAATCATGACTTGAAACAAACTTGTGGTGCTTATTAAATGTAACAGACAAAACCAACCTTGTGAAAAATATTGTTTATGAAAACAAGTGTTCCAGAATGGTTTGTGTTTGATTATGAGAAAACGTGATCGATTGCTTGGTCGTTTAGTCACTGCGACCAATCTTCGATTATTTCAATAAATCGGACCGCCACTACTTCTTACAACAAGCATGGGTTGCTTCAGTCCATTTCTGACCTGTATCCACTTGCACGAAGCATCTTAGGTAACTAGGACATATATAGTAGAGTTACCAAAACAATAACAGGAAGGGGAAAAAGTGTGAGGCAATGTCGTACATAAAGTGTCATACCAAACTACCACAAACAACAAGTTAGCCAAGTTAATAAACAAAACACATAAATGGGTAAAGAAAAGATCATGGAAAATGATAAACAGTTAGTTCTATTCTAATCATCGAAATTCACAGAAAGATCAAGATGAGCAGATGTTGGCATTATTGTATGAGCTGATAAGGTTGAAGATGTCGTTGTCATGCAATGTACTAAAAAACTCAATCGCAGCAACAATGTCTGAGGCATTGTTTTTTGTCAAGTTTTTCTCTTCACTACAAACTGATTGAGTAAAGCTTAGTAGTAGGTGAACACCTGGTGTCATCACGGATTGTCACACTGACGATAGATACAACTTATAGTATAGCTTACATAGACTAAATCCAACTAGATATTCCAAATGTTTAAATCCAAATGACAAGAATTTGAAGAACCTGTTCAAACTTCAATCTGTCAATATTCAAAACGCGGATTGAATAATCTTTCCGGTCATTCAGTTTTACAGTAATGCCTGTACTACAAAAATACAATGTGAAACATTCCTTCTACTGGCACGGGAGACCTTCAAAATTGAAAACACAAATATATCGTCTGCTTATAACGGTTAATACGTTGATCAAAACATACCGAAACTCTGCACTTTACACATCTACAGTGGGGTATTGAAAGTAGAGTTATCTGCCCCTATCTGTGCACACTCGGAAAACATCGGTCTCTCTCGGTAACCTCCGGCATGTCATTTGTTAAGGGCGGATCGAACAAACACCTTGACATCACGCTGGTGCTAAAAACTAATGCCAGGTTTTCCAGAGATCATTTATTATTATTGAAGGTCGTACGTCTGTGTGAATATATGGGAGTTACGATAACCTAGAGATCAATACCATACGAGTGTCAGAAATGTACCATCCCATATTTCTGTAAGAAATGGATATAAGTTTACATGACACCCGTGGAATATTGTATCAAACAGATATTTATGCCACCAATTCGGGCTATCTAATAGCACTACATGTCTCATATGAATGTGATATTAATTGACCTAGCAAAAATAAGGAACGAAACAAGGGAAATATTTTCTATTTCTACTGAGTTATATTTCATATTATTACCCACGTGGTACTTCGAAAAGGGGTTTCATAACAAACATCTTCGAGGGTTTTGATTGGCTAATACGTGAACTTTGACATTACCAGTATTACTTTTATCACTCATTCCATTCATGATTTTCACACCTTCTGAGAGCATGTAAAACGAGAACACTATGAAATTAAATAAAATTTATTTTTTAGTGTGATTACAAGCATAGGTTTTCAATCTTTTAATAACTCGAGTTTCGGTATCCTATAAATCTGTGAAAAAAAAAAAATTACAATAACGAAAAATCACCTGTCCTAAAGGTTGAATTTGTTACTAAAATATAAAACATAAACTATTTGTGCATACTCTGACTAATGACTAAAACGACTGTCGATCATCCCGTTTGTCGCCTCTTAGACCAATCTTTGGAGTTCATTGTGAGATTAATACTTATTGCGTTTCGGAAACTTTGAAGATATATGTAGCGACATTATGACTTGAACAAAATATGATGGCTTCATAACACAGAAATTACACTTTTGTTTCTGGCAATTACAGATTAAGGTCTACATAGGTAGGCATTATGAAAGACTGTCGTAATGCATGACGTCAGATTAAAGAAAATAATTAATCGTTTGGTTATATGAAGGTCTTGGACATTGACCGCTTTCGGGAATCCCATGAGCACGTGCTGACAAACCCTGAAACGTATTCAAGGCAAATCTGTGTCGAACCAACGTCCATACTTGTTTGTCAAGTTTTTCTCTTCACTCCAAACTGATTGAGTAAAGCTTAGTAGTAAGTGAACACCTGGTGTCATCACGGATTGTCAGTGATCAATTTCAAGTATTTTCACGGCTATTTTCCTTTAACGCTCATTGAAATATCTTTCGCGATTGGTTATTTTCCGGTGGTTCCGTTTAATTAATCAACTGTAGCTGGGACAGTGGGCTAGCCTAGTGGTTAAGGCGTCCGCTCCCCACGCAGAAGACCCGGGTTCGATTCCCCACATGGGCACAATGTGTGAAGCCCATTTCTGGTGTCCCCCGCGGTTGTATTGCTAGAATATTGCTAAAAGTGTTGAGATAAATTCGGGCTTAATGTCTTGTTAAAGATGACTACTTACATAGTGATGTGCATGCAGCTGTGTCTTGCTGCTTCCACTAACCTTGACCCTATACCTGTGTCATACAGCATGAGATACGATATGACAGTTTTACATCAAAACACTGGACACAGTATCGACTCTCAGCTAGCTTGTCAGTCCTCGCGTTATCCCCATAATGACGTGACCGCCTCCGTGGTGTAGTGGTTAGAGCGTCCGCCCGGAGAGTGGAAGGTCGCGGGTTCGATCCCCGACCGCGTCATACCAAAAAGACGTTAAAATATGGTACTTGTTGGTCCCTGCCTGGCGCTCGGCATTAATGGGTACAACAAGGACTGGTCGGCTCGGAGTCAGTATAATGTGTTTGAGTGGGGTATTCATGCTTCACTGCGGCATGGTATCTCAGTTGGCTAGCACTATAAAACCAGCTTAAGTCTGGACTAGTACAAGCAGCCGCACCTACACATACACACGCATGCACGTCGTCATATGAGCGAAATATTCTCAAGCACGACGTTAAACCAAATTTCACCTCACCTCACCCATAATGACGTACGCCAGGCACGGAAGTCCCCATCAATAAACGTTACGGGTCCTTGCTGGTAATACGAGAGTCCTGTAAACTATTGTAATGGTTGAACAACTACTGTACTTTTTGTGCCAACATTACAGTTTTACGATAGTCATGAAATCAGTAACCTCAAATTTCTGTCAGAAGATGTAGGGACAGTTCATTTACCATCCAGGGGTGTCGGGTGGTTTGAAGATTATATGTTAAGATAATTACGTCAGAATGTGTGTGTTTAGTTTTACGCCGCGCTCAGCAATATTCCAGCTATATGGCGGCGGTCTGTAAATAATCGAGTCTGGACCAGACAATCCAGTGATCGACAGCATGAGCAACGATCTGCGCAAATGGGAACCGAGAGTCAACCAAGTCAGCGAGTCTGACCACCCGATCCCGTTAGTCGCCTCTTACGACAAGCATAGTCGCCTTTTGTGGCAGGCATGGGTTGCTGAAGACCTATTCTACCCTGTGTGTGTGTGTGTGTGTGTGTGTGTGTGCATCCATTCTCCCCATTTGTTTGGCGGGGGAGGGTGTGTGGGGTGGTGCAGGGGTGCGTACCCCCCTTTTGTCCTGAAAGTTTATTAAATGACCCGTGAAAACGGGTGAAAATGAAGTGTGCGCCCCCTTTCTCAAGAGTGCACACACACACTTAAAGAAAAAGAAAAGAAAAAAAAAGCTGTATCCGTCCCTGCACATATGGGATACGACGACATGCGTCAACCAAGACGGAAAGCCTGGCCCTCCTATCCCGTTAGTTGGGACAAGCATGGGTTGCTGTTGCCCAATTCTAATCCGGAACTTCAGGGACATGACACACACACATTGGATCTGTCGAAATACCAATAAACACTTCACTGTCATCTTGACACAGGAACAGTTACCTGTATACAAAATAACTAATTTTTTTTCGGTCTGACACATGTATCCCTTAGTCTCATAATCCAAGAAATGTAACTCCCACAAGTTCCTGTGATTCTTGGTACAACATCAGTTCGACACACCGTCAATACACAATACACAGGCATAGATACATTATTGATTCCTTTATTTAGCTTTCTATTACTATTCAACATAATCGTATGATACATGGGTAACAGTGTCCTGCCAAAAGTTAGACGTCCCAATAGTTAGACGCGTTAAAACAACAAAGGTTATGGTTGGTTGCACTAAGGTTCTCTACACTGTTACCTATGGATAGTCAATTTCTTTATTGCAATGAATGCGACGTTTCGGTATAGGTACTGACACCGTATCAAACAAGTAGTGACTTGCTTGTAGGTTGTAATCACAGTCTGATTTGTCTGACAATTGGGATGTATGACTTTTGGGAGTAACCTGGGTAACCAACACACTTTTAAGTCTTTAGTTAAATGAACTGATCAATGAAATATTGGTACACAATTTGAGGTATCCTCGGAAAACCTTATGTCTTTTCCTAATCTCTTTCTAGGAAGAAAAGAAGGTTTTCATCAGTACAACCAGAAATTATTGA